CATTTCCCAATTCAGTCAATTAAAATGCGATTTTAATTGTTACGTAATTGTAAACATTTTTTCTAGTACTCTCCTAGAATGTACAAAATATTATTTTTAAATAGTGTTATATAAGTATACTTTTTCGACGATATTTTTAAAACAAAGACGGTTTTCTCAAGGGAACAACATTCACTTATTTATCCAATAAACATAGAATTTCTCTTTTTTATATTATAAAAACATTTTCTCCAAAAAAAAAGATAGTTATACTGTATATCTTTTGTCCATTGATGTAATGATAAATCCTCTTAGCTGTATGTCCATAATCAAAATTCTAAAAATAAGTTTTAGGTATTAGCTTGTTATGAATCTACTATTATTCATGACCTTGAAAGAATTTCTTCTACAATGCACCGTTGGACAAATAAAATAAAACGAGAACGTTCTGCTTGTTTTGTTTGCATTGCGCAGTAAAATAGATGTTCAGATTTTAATGTGTCTTTTTGTGGAAACTTTATTGATGCAGCATATTTTTCACATATTTCAATAAGGTCAAACACATACTCATGTTTCAAGTTTGATATGATTCAGTTACTGTTAATGTTGTTGTTGTTGATGATAAGGATGAGGAGGGCGAGGAAGAGGAGGAGGAGGATAATAATAATGGTGCGGTTGTAAAAGTGCCCCTTGTAGCACAGGGGTTATCTTTCCGGGCTGATGCAACAGTAATGCAGCAACCGTTTGGCTCCAGCAGGTGAAGTTGTTTTGACCCCTTGTTTTGCTTTAAGTTTGTAACACCCGAGATTAGCCAAATTCACCTTTCCAATTTCGCTGCCATATTACCAAACTTGTGTTGGTGCGCTGTAAAATAAAAACAAACACAAACAAAAAACAACATGGCACATTTGAAGATTAATACATAATGGTATTTTCAGTCAGTTTGCTGATGAGACGTATTTATATAATTTATTTGTTGGGACGAGTAGATCAAGTTAACATCATCAGAATGGATGTGTTTACTCCCAAGAGGTAGAATTGTATTAAAACTGAATACATTACGTCTAAATAGTTTGTACTCCAGACGTTGTATTCCATTGTCAGTGTTAACTTGTTCATGTACTATAAATCCAAAATGTTCACACCAAATTACGAGAGCTTTATCTGAATATAAAGACAATAGAAATAACAGGAAAACCTTGTTGGAGAAGAAACAAAATTAACTAGCGAGCAACTTTAATTCGATTGCCATTGCAGGCGAGGAGAAATAATTCTCTCACTAATCTTACCAATGACAAATTGATCAACATTTGTGTCAAACCAGATGACATTTGCATGTCTTTCAATGCGAGCTTAGGAAACCTGTAAAAAGAAGGATTTTTATAGTTAGTTTACGTTTCTTCAATAGTTTTACATTCAAATAAGTAAGTTACAATTGAGATGGCAAAAAAGAACGAATTATATTTCAAAAAACATGTATCTTTCAGCTATGTCAAGGCAAGTTATCAAGTAAAATGAAGGACTTTCCTCTTTGAATAACATTGTAGATTGTAAAGATTCTATTTTCTCCACTGCTTGAAGATGACTTTACTTTAATTTTTAATGAGAACAGTATTTGGGTTGCTTTTAATCATCAGAATTCTAGTTTGGTGGAAGTTGGTAAAGAACAGAATGTAAATCAGACACAGGTGGGGAGTGAATGTATTACAAAATTAACGTTATTTACAACTTTTTAAACAAAATCTAAGATGAAGACGAACAGTTCTTTTGTTTTAAAAAGATTTAAGCATTTATTTTTGTTTTTTGTTGGAATGTATACTTCTTCTGGCCTGGCTTTTCGGCTATGCGTTGAATAGAACAAAGATTGACAAATGACACAGATAGTTTTCAGTTCAAGAATACGTATTCTTGCATAAAATGTGCGCCCGCAAGTATGCATTAACGGGGGACAAAACAAACATTAAATGCAGGAACTGGCTTTAAATGCACCCTCGTCTTCTGCAAATGTTTGTGCACTAACCCTCTATTCATATCGTAAATGAAACGTCTAATGATTATTATCCTTGTATAACTACATTATTTGGAGGGAGAAAAGTTTACAACGATATGATTTAACACTCTAATGCTTTTTATGCAATGTTACAACGATGTCTTAAATGGTTGTATTAAATTGCGCAAAGGCAGCGTGTATGTTATTGCAAATGTCTTATGCCTTGTTTCTTTGAATGTCTATATCATCATCTTTACTGTGCTTTTACAACTTTTTTGTAACCCTGCTTTTATTTTTGTATTGCATTGTTGATATTTGTCTAGTTGCAAATATGATAACAATATAAGACGTCCAAATTATATCTGTCATCTGATAACAATATATGCAAGGACTTTTAATATTTTTCTCATCTTGTCTGGACCACTTATATAATCATTTGTTATATTCATTGCCCTAGTGACCGCTCGCCAGACAAGTTAGTTGAGATGCCGAAAATTGATCAATATCATTGCATTACTTTTTTTACATTATTAACCTTTGCTACCTCTATATTAAGGGGATGGGGTGGAAATGGGCTTCGTGGCCGAGCGGTTAAGCACGTTCACTTCAAACCATTGTCCCTGTTGCTGATTTGAATTTCGCAGAGGACTAATGATTCTTTCATGTTATCAAGCGTTCCAGCAAGTTAACAGGATGCTGGTGATTCTACTGTTGTGTCCTGTGTCTTATAAAAAAAGCAAAATCATTCACTGTGGACTTCCTCCGCCAATAAGTCTGGAAATTCTTCATATGACTTTCACCCCCGAATGTGTGACTCTAAACGCACCATAATAAACAGAAATCTTGCTTTGCATTACCTCACCTAGTTAACAGTAATAAATTCTTTAATAGTGGCTGAAAAAGTAGGGACATTCATGTTTTAGACAGTTTGACGGAAAGTATTTTTATTCTTTCTTTCCTCTCTTTCTCACCACGGATAGAAGAAATATATTGCGTAAAACTAAAATTATGTGATTTGTGACTTGTTTTGTATACCTTTAATCGATCAGGAGACTAAGCAACATTGATCATTAACTGCCTTTAAGTTTTTATTCAATTGTATAAAAAAAATATATGCTAAAAATCAAAAATCTTTTTATTTCGTTTATATTGTAACTTAACATCAGTAGACAAAAATAGGTAAATTATATGTCAAGTTGTTCATGTCTTTACCTGATATGCAATGCTCTTGGATACTGAATAGCTCCGATGAAATTCGAGACGCATAAATAATGATAGTAGACACAGTAAGCAGACAGATTTGGAACTGGCTTAAAACTTTCTGTCAAAGCTAAACACAACAATATAAATCAGCTTGTGTTTGTGGACAGGATAAGATTATCTTCCCTGCAGACATATAACAGTTATTGTGTCTTTAAATGAAGAAAAGAACTATTTACTTGTAGGGAGAAAAAATAGATTTGTCTACGGTTGTTTTGTGTCGAAAAATAGTAATCATCCTTCGTTGTAAATTGCAGTCTGAGTTTGAAAAAGAGGAAAATCTTACAAATGTCAATAATTCATCATACAAAAAGTTCAATGTTTATAAAGGATGTTAAAGAAAATAAATTTAATAAGAACAATGCAGTTTCAACTTGAAAAAAAAATAATAATTAGGTTATGTATTCATTTTATATCAATGAAATTATCAGTTGTTTCCTTACAAATACAATTTCTACCTATCATATTTATGCATGATGTCTTCTTGTAATCAGACGTGTCAATATTTCTCAAAGTATTGTATCACCAAGACAATTAATAAATCGTTTAATCTTTTAATGAAACGTTTATGAAAGCATATCTGATATAGACTGCCTCAAAGTCTCAAGTTTATCAATATATATTTCTTTCTTTTTTCTTACAGAATACGATATCTTCGTTTCTTTTACTTGAAGCAATATTTTCAGAAATGATACAGAACGTGTCTTTTCTGGATATTTTTCTTGCCCTGTAGTTTATTAAATATATTTAGCAAATGGATAGGTTTACGACCCAGACAGAAATGTGTCTGTAACTAGTAAAAGAAAAAAGTACATTACCACATAGATGCAAATACTCATATTGATTATGATAAGGGCTTTCTTTATTCACGAAAAAATAATAAATACGCCATTTTCCCGGAAAAAAGAGCAAATGATCAAAAGGGATATTTAACGGAATGCCAGAGTTTCTTTATCCCGAAAAAAAAAATACAAAAAATACGCCATTTGTCAGCGAAAAGAACAAATGATTTATGGGAATGCCGGAGTTTTTTTACCTTTTATTTTTGTAAAATCGAAACACTTTCAAGATTTATTTTGCTTCTTGATATTGTTTGCACTGTAATTTCTTCTCATGACGATTAGCTAACACGCAAAATTAAATGCCTCTCTTCACCTGAAAAATATCAATGTATGATTATTTTGTAAGATGTTACACTAAAACACTTAAGAACATAGTTTAAAGGTATTGATAAGTTAAATTAAAAAACATGAAATGAATTAATAATACATGAAAATTGAAGCCTTATTGTTACTTGTGAATGATAAGATTTTATGTTTTACAAATGTACATTATTTTGTCTTTCAAAGTCTGAGGAATACATTGTTCATTATAACGGGCCTAACGAGAAACGAAATATTGCAAATCTCGCACTTTTAAGTTCAATCTTTGCAATAATCCTTCCTAGAAAATTCGTCGTTATACATGTAACAGCAGATAAACAAATGTTGCATGCCAGGTTCATAAAGTAATCTTTATGTTACTTATTGTGTTTTGATTTTGGTCCCTTGGTGTCATTTTTTACAAGAATGATTATAGTTTTAGTGTTGACGGTTAGATACCACTTAGGCCGGTACTGGGGGGGGGGGGTTGTATGAGTAATGTTGCATTTCCCTTATATCTTATAAACAGATTAAATATAACCGGGTGTGACATTCTCAACCAATCATGTTGATGTTTTTCATTGCTCATCAAATATCAAAGTTTCCACAGTTTATTATATGTTGTTTAATTATGTCTTTTCAGGATGCCGTCAAAAGGACGTTACACGGCGGGAAAACAAGTGTCACGGTATGAAGCGGATTCCGAGAATATTGACATAGAATATAAAAACCTCGAAGGTCAAGGTCACAGTGTCTGGTGTTCAAACTGCACATGCCCGCTAGGGGACAAGAAACCTTTGGTTATAAAGGCTTTGACAGTAACTGTAGTGTTTGGTATAGGACTTGTGATAGGTTTTCTGTTAAGAAAGACGGTGTATAGCAGTAATGAAGATTTACCAATATATGAAAAGCCCAACACAAGCAGCATTTACAGTATCAAACAGGTAAGTGAGGCAGTGCTTCACCGCTTGAAACAATTATATATAAGGCATTACATTGTCAAATCTTTTCTTTTTTTTCCGATATGTAAGATTTAGAAATCAAATCTAAATCTTGTTTGAACTAAAAAATCACGTGAAAGGCTTCTTACTAACTCTAGAATTAAAATTATTTTAGAACACATAATTCTTTTTTCTTTTTTATCTTTAGATTATACATTGTTAAAAGCAGTAAGGCCAAGAGAAGTCTACTAAGGTTTGCTGGTCAACTTAAGATGGGCGATGAAAATGGCATAATATTCATTAGGATAGTGAAAAAAATGTTTCAATAAAGCATGTAACATCCTTTATGTGGGATTTGAAAATCAGAATCCTAATTTGCAAAATTGCGGATATATCACAAAACCACGAATAAACATTGTTTCATAACCCAATAGAACGTTACGGTGTCATTTAAGATTTAGGATTCAGACTCTGTGGGGATTTCTTCTCGTCAATCATACCATAAAGTTATAACTACATTTATCTCACATTGGAGGTAAAACTTATCATCTCATAAAACAGGACGCCATGCAGCGATATGGAATGATGCGAAACTCTGTTAATGACATAAATTGAAAACCCCGCTCATTTATTTGATGTAAGGAGAAACCAAAACAGTTCCGAAAATGTCTGATAAAGCTTTTTTTCCCTCAGAAATTGTTGAATCAATACTAACGCCCAGAGAGACTTCGGTCATTATTTATTGTTAACACGTCCTCTCCAACGGAAAACTTATTAAGACTTCATTTATGGCGCCTTTGAGAGCCTAATCATGGACTCCGTGAAATGTAACCATGTGTGTTTCTTAGATTGGAGACACTGACGTATATTGATGGACATTTACTATTGAAGCAACACAAAAAAAATGTGCCTTAAGGAGGAAGAATTTTATATCTTACATTTCTTTTGTTTGAACGCTCGTCTTCTGATTAAATTTATTCAATGCTCTTTTTATAATATCTACACATTCCATTATCCTTGTATTTTGATATGATAATATCGTTGATTTGTCGTTTATCTGACCGTATATAAATGAATGCATTCGTGTTACTAGATAGAAATGTCATGAAAATTAAAATAATAATTAACATTAATAACTCTTCTGATGACAAAACCTTTAAGTATGCTTAAACTTTGTCAAATAAATATTGACCCCTACAGCTTTAACTGAAGAGTCTTATTCAACATGACAATTGCATTCACTAAATCAAAGAGAGGAAGCGTGTCTTAGAAGTTTTCTCCGGAATATTTCATATTGACTCCGCCCTATTTTCCTCGATCATTTCTCGGATATCAATTCATTAAGGCTTATTCTAGATTTTTAACGATATCAAGCCTCTATTAGCGTATAACACTTAAGGAAGATGAATGGGAAAACGGAAACAACTTTACGGCGCTCCCCGGGGATCACCTTAAAGCAATTTATTAATTGTTCTTTAAAGAACGTTTTTAAATCTTTCCCTAGATGACCATTCTTCCGACACCTTGTCCCGGAAAGTTTCCTTTTAATGTTTAATGCCTTATATATTGTTAACAGAGATAGATTATGATGATGGAACATTACTGAAGGAATCAATATTGGCCTGTGAAAGGGATTCCGTGTTGTTTAGTCTTTTTCAAACAAATACAAGTACAGTACACTATCTAATAACGTAAGAGAAAATAATAAATTTTCTTAAATTTTGCTTAAGATTTTTTTCACCTTCAACATTTAAATGTTTTCATACTTACTTTGATTTTTGAATACTTTAGACAATGGTTAGAATTAAAGCGAAGATAAAGGGCGTTTATGTTTTAACAAAAGAAAAAAACGGCTTCCACTTACACATATCTTCAGTACTTTCTGCTTCACGAATAAAAGCTTTTCACATTCCAAATGCTTCTAACATGCCCGGCAGCAAAGCTTGTATAAAAATACAGCTGCAAATTAAAGTCGACTCATAACTTATATGGCCTCATTTAAAAAAAACCTGATATTTATTACCAGGAGTACTTGCAATACGCGTTCAAAGGCAGCTGGTTTACCTTAAGGGTAATTATTTAGACGTTTTTTATTTTGCTTTTTCCTGCTTTGAAATCAATATGCTTTTGATATTGTAACGTTATAGAATCGGAACTGATTCACTGGTATAAAAGTATGATAAATTGGTCGTAATTTATAAAAAAAAGATGCATTTTTACTTTAGATCCATGGGTAAAACGACATACAATATAGCCTATTATCACATTATTCATCACCGTCATCAGAATATGCTTTTATAGAATTAAACGGCAAGGTTATAAAGTTAAAAAGGGATGAAAGATTAGTTGCATGCTATACTCTCTATAGTCAAGAGACTAATCTCACATTTACGTAAATGGACCTGAAATAATATCTATGCTAGGCGCGTTTGATCATGTATTTATCTTGGGTAATTGCAACGTATTTAGATTATTAAATAATCAAACATTATCCATCAAATTATATGCAAAGATAAAACAGAATCTGAGGCAGCTATTGTAAAAACGAATTGCTATAAAATCTGGTGCAAGTTATTTGTCTACCAAATGGCATAAAGTAACAGCTTTCAATCCGTCAGCGAACTTGCACTTTGCGTAAAAGTGCAATTTCATCTATTAAACTAATGCTCATTTGTATCAGTAGATTTTGGATGCTCAAAATAAGAGACAAAATATCAAATTTATCAGTTTCATACAAAAATCTAGCTATAGAACTGATTAAGACGAAAATATTTGTCGGCGTGAGAGCAGGATTACAATTGTTTACATTTTCAGCGCTGGAGTAACTTTACCAATTACATTAGTTTAACAAGATCAGACCGTATTGAAACATTTGTAGACGTAGCGTCAGTAAAGGAAAAGATCAACACGTTTCAATACAGCCAAATATATTAATTGTCATCTCCAGAAACAACTCTCCCGCTAACAAATGTTTGTGTATGTCTTTTGAGGATATGACGGTTCTCCTTCCCAGTAATAATAATGGTTCTTAAGTGACGGCATGGTCAAGTGGTTAATGTGTCGGACCAGTTATCCAAGGATCGCTGTCAGCGAGGGTTTAAACCCCGTCAGAGGGGAGTCGTTTGTTTCATAAAACTTCACACTCATTGTTTAGTACTAGTTGATTCCAGGAACATATTCGAGAGTATGTCTATAAGCTTTTAAAAGGTTCCTACTCATTCGAACTAAAATAAATTTTGTATATTTAAACAAACAAAAAAAATGGTTCTTTAGCATACAAAGTGTAAGCAAAGCAACTGTACTCGGTACCTTGGAGTAATATCTCCAATCAAAGATTACATGTTATTTTAATAAGATGAGCGTCTTTTGATAATGGGGAAGAAAGAATCAATTTTTGATCGGAATCATTCAAGAAAATCTTTAATTATATCAGTATTCAGGTTTTGCATTGATTGAAATAAATTGAGTTGAATATTTATCATTTATAGGATTATGATAGGGAGTTTAGTAAGCTGATACAAGACGACTTGGAAGATGTTTATAATTATGAAGATCATATGAAGTAAGTATATGATGTAATAAAAGCATCTACATATTTGACTTTCTTTAAATTGCCTCCAGTAGATATTAGTTCTTCACCTGTTGACTTTGTTTTATGAATTTGACCTGATTTGAATGGGAACCAGTCCATTCAAGGTATGAGAGATTTTGATATAAAAATATAAAAGTTGAGCTACCAACAGTACGAGTGCCTGGTCGGTCTGCACGAATGTCCAGGGTCACCTGACTCTGTACTAGTAAGTACTTTAATTTTATCACTTTCGGTCTCAGAAGGTTTAGGATTGATATTACCAGAAACCACTTAATTACTGTCAAGTCATGGGCGTAAGCATATTTCGACAGCAAGTATACAGTCCGTCCTTACTTTGTCGGAAGAGGTCATGGCTCCCAAACCACATTTTGAGAATTTGTTCCAGTCGTGCACTTGTGTCATTGATTACAATCACATATCACAATTGCTTTTGAGTTTCACAAATAATCAAAGAATTGTATGAATAATTTGCTATTAAAAATCTCATTTTTCAGATTCAATATTCAACAATTTTGGACGACATGTTATCTCCGAAATTTAAGTAGAACAAATTCTCACATGAATTTCTTATAATTATTATCCTTTAAATTGAACCGAATCATTTAAATGTCTTTTTTTTCACAAATCAGATAAAAATTTATTTCATTTTCATATTCCGTGTATCACTTTTCCAGGATAATTACCCGTTGTGTTCACATGTCTGGCGTTGGGTCAGCCAACAAGCTTCTGGACTACGTTGAACAAAAATGGAAAACGTTCCCGTTTGACGCCGTAAAGGTCAAGAAGTACAACGTTACATTGTCGTATGCGAATTAGTAAGTTTTTGATGGTTTGATTTTATCGTCAAAAGTATTATATTTTTCGTCCATCATTATTGATCTTTTTTTTTCTCGTATTTTAGTTATTATGTTGCAAAGACATTTTCTGGTTTTAATGAAATTTCAAAAACAATATTGCAGTAGCATTTATGAAATATTGAAATATAAATTACTATGATAAAAGTGAAAAATAAACGCTATATAAGACAAGAATATTAGGGTGGATTTTGTTCATATAGATAATAATTTGTATAATAGAGAGTCAATTTTATCATTAAAGTAGTGTCAACCATAAGAACTTTTATAGTATAATTTATTGTCTAAATAAAATCTTGTTTTTAACATGTTTAAACTGGATCTATATCATTTACGACTTTGCTGTTGATTTTGTACAAAATGTTCCCCGTAGAAAAAAGACCTTTGAAACCAGAAGAACGAGACCGTATAAATGTATTTGAAATTCAAATTTGGTGAATAAATGTGTTCCCTTGTGACATTAACATTACTTGCACGTGTTTGAATCGTAAAATTGTTCTCTTTAAAGAGAATTACGAATTTAAGTTAAATAAATTCACTCAAGAGTGTTATAATTATCGTCATGATCAAACAAATCACGGACGTTATTGAATAAAATATACATCCCGATACGAAGTGAAACTCTGGAAATGTTTTCCGGCTTTTGGAAAGTGATTTTTTGACAATTACATCATCGTATATAAACTGACATTAGTCCAAGTATATATATAGCTGGTACAATATATTGAAAAATACAGTCAAAATATGAACAAAGGCCTCCAAAAGGAGAGACAGAAAAATAGTTAAATGGTCTTTATTTTTAGATAATTCGGATCTATGTTTTCGACAGAGGATTATCAAAAAGTGGCCTTTATTTACAGGATGGTTTTTATTTTTCGGTCTGTAACACATGTTTGACTGTATAAAAAGTTTCTCTGTTTAACTACGCTTGTATGGATAAATGCATGGATAAATTTCGGTAAATATAACAGACATTAACAAAGATGTGAAGAAATTGGTGTTTGACTACGCCTTGTATGGATAAATGCCGTAAATATAAAAAATTGTTGGCGATAAAAACTGCTTAAGAAATTATTTTCCCTCATCGATCATTATGTGACTCATACTGTTGAATTATCCGACAATTTGCGCAAAAACTATGTAGACAAACAAATTATGATTTTATTCAGAGAAACGGACATTTATTATGATGCAATAGACGTTAAAGGCACTTAATTGTGAAATGTTGAAGAAAGCTTTTACAGTAAATGGTAAAGTTTCCAGATGAGAGCAGTCTGTTCTGGTCATATTTGTCAAAAGAAGAAATTTTATGTTGATGAAACGAGTTTATTTCTTGATTGAAACGTGGGTGTTATTTTTTCTTAAAAAAAATTGCATGTATATTAGATAAAGAAAAAAGAGAACGCTGTTTCAACTTAATACGGATTGTTTTCTGTATAAACTGATACAAGAACTTCAAAATAACAGAGAATTGTCGATTTTGACACACATATATATATATGAGTTGTCAAATAAAGAAATAATTTGAAGACAAAAAAGTCCGAGAACGAAGATATTCTAAGCAATGAAATAATGATATTGCCAAAAACGATTCGATTGTGTGAATAGTCAAAATCCACAGTATATTATGTACATAAGTCTGAGAATCTTACAAAAATCGTTTGTGATATTCGACAAAATTTAAAAACCAGAATTCACATACATATCTGACTTGCGAAATTCGAGTCAGAAAAAAAATCAATAAAATAACCAATACCCGTTCTTTGCCTATTAAAATTCAATAACTTCCGTGATTTGTTTTACAGTCTATTATAACACCCTTGTGTGAATTTATTTAACTTAAAAATTTAATGCTCTTTAAAAGAACACTTTTACGATTCAAACACGTGCAAGTAATGTTAATGTCACACGGGAACACATCTATTCAACAACTTTGATTTTCAAATACATTTGTACGGTCTTGTTTTCCTAAGACAAATGTCTTTTTCCATAAAAGAAATTTTGTACAGAATTAAGACCAACAGCAAAATCTTAAATGATATAGTTCAAACATTTTGTTTCCATAATACGGTGCCAGTTATACACGACATTTAACAATGAAGTTTCTTAAGGCCAACCCTATATATTTCAATGATAAAATTGCCACAGAAGCTAAATCATACTGAGATTATCACATCATATTGGTGATAACTTTTTAAATATCTTAACCCTGTCATCTATGTAGACAAATAAATCGTAATTCTAGTCTAAGATAAAGACGTTTTATTCAAATTGGACGAATTCTTAGAACTATCTATTATTAAGATAAACGTGTTTTATTAAAGTTGGAAAGCTCTACAACTATTTATTTATACAACTATTTATTAATGGAAAGTGTTAAGTAGCTTGTTCACGTGCACAAAAATGAGTGTGTGTAAAAATGAGCGTGTAAAGAAAATCGTATGTTTATGTGTACACAAAAAACGCATATATGTTAAGACAATGATTTTGTCTAAGAACCGTGTACCTATTACAGTAAATTATATACTTTTATAAGCACGAAACAAAATGTACAAAAATCTTTTATTAATCTACATAATATGACAAATCAACTTTTATTTAGAGTTCTAATATCAACAAATTGCTAATTTATTATTTCCCAATCAATGAAAGTTTCTAAATGCTAAAATATAGCACCTAAGTTGTTTATGGCCAATGCTATTTTACACTTTAAAAAATGCTATGAATTAATTACAAGGAACCGATCTTTTCAATTTGACAGTTCTAAGAGTCCCGCATGAGATTTCAGAAAAATACATGAAAAAAATACTACAAGATGTAGAGAATAAAAAAAAACTAAAAAAAAAATAATATTGATTTTATGAGTAATTTAATTTCCCTTGTTCCAATTTAATGGAAGTTTCCCTTGATATTTTATATGCGTGATTTGGAATCGTTAAGATAAAGTTAACGTCTCGTGTTTTCAAATCGTTCAACATGTTTTAAAAGACGCTATCGACCTATTTATATGTCTGAATTTCATCAAAATGTCAGGAAAATTTAATTTCAATTGACTAAACTGTTCAAGGGCGAACTGAATTCAATGATAAAAAAGATAGATTTAATTTTATTTAGAACAAGGAGAAGTTTACATTACACTTTTCCTAAAAAAACACTGTGTATAACCGGTTACAGTGAGAAGCGTCCGTAATTCCTAATGAAATGAAACGTAACATAAAATAACAACAAGAAAGGTGTGAAAACCATCAAACATGATATTGGAAAAAGGGATCTTTCTTTTTCGGCTAAAACTATAAATTCCATGCTTGTTTTCATTTTCATTTGTCACGAAAAGAAAAATATAAGAAAGTGGTTTCCTTTTCTCAACTTAATTAGAAAATTTGTGAGAATATAGTTCGTAACGATGTATTTTTTATGTATAAGACTATCATATATCTAAGGCAAACTTATTCCTTATAGATTCTAATTTGAAAATAACGACAGAGTGCTGACTTAGTAATCTATTTTAGAAATTTGATAATAGTTTTCAGCACGATTTTCACATGTTTTCCAATTTCTCATACTATTTAGGTCAGCTGGAAAATTGGTTATCAGTTAAATGTCGACATAGAGCTCTATTCATTTATTGTTTCATGGTGTTTTTTTTTTGTATTATAGGTTTTCATTTTGTCTTATTTCTTGGTTCTTGTCGACAGGTGCCATAAATTTGTTTTATGAATGTTTTATATAAGTCAATCGGAAAATTAGGTTTTCTTCACTTCAATGTCGGCACAGCGCTGTTTTTCATCCATTGTTTCATATTTTTTGGTGTTATAAGTTTTCATTTTGTGTTATATATTGGCTATTTGCGACATATATTGTTAACTAACCATGTATTATTAAAAATGTATTTGTTTGTTTTTCCGAACCTACAATCGTTGATTCTATCTCAACCAAATATATGACATATTCTACCACAATCACAGTAGATCACGAAATCTTGCAGACCTAAACAATTCGATGTGTACCATGTCTTGCCAAACCAAGCACTTGTTACTCCCGACCACTGTACCTTATTTTTTTAAGCACCTTTCATGCGAAAACAGGAGTACTCCTTTTCATCCACTGTGAAAATAGGTCTAATATGAATATACCAGGGCTAAGTGATATGATGGAATCAGGTCCAATATTGAAAAACATGGCTAATACGAAACCAAGCATTTTGATTGTTTAGAAACAGTACTGCAATGGAATAATTTCGAGATTGCGTTTATTATTTTCAACATTTACGACTTGTTGTGTGTTGTGGTTTGATTATTAGAAATAGTCACGTGAGCTGATAGTCTAAAACGAGGCTGAAAAATTTGCATATTTTTGCTTTTCTATTTTTAGTACAAACATGAACGCTAATCTAGTGACGGTGCAGACAGCGAATGGTTCTCTCATTTTCCATAGTCAATACAACACATCAAGTTCACATCCGGAGTACTTGCCATTTAGCGCGTATTCGCCATCCGGAAAAGTGACGACGGTACGGTATTTATTCATGTTATTTGTTGCCCTTTGTTTAGGTAGCACTCCACACTTAATTTCAAGTTTCTGCCGTCAGTGTCCTACAAGCAATATGTCTGATAAATCTGATCCCAAACTACACAACCTGGAAAAAGAAAACACATTTTGTTAAGAACATATATGTCATAACATTGCAAATTTATAATGAAATCATCCCATGTGCAACAGTCAGGCAGTTAAAAAAATTCAAATTCATTCCGTAAAAGCCAAAAATCTATAGTGGTCCGATACCCAAAACAACATATTTCGTCCCGCCGGCAAAAAATACCTGCAAATATATGCGCTACAGCAACTGTGTCACTGCTTTAGCAACTCCCTATACATGCAAAATATCCCAAAGATATAGGTGCTTGGCCTTGTAGATTTTTTGCTATTGCTGAAAGTTTGTAGCCCCCTGTAAAATTACTTGTTTTCACCGAGCATGCTGTTCAAAAGCAGTGTTTACAAACAATGGCGGCCTTGACATCTATAATTAACAGCATGCGATTTCTAACCATGTTTTCGAATTTGCCAATGATCATATTACATGTCACAAAAACAAATTTCATGCTGAAAATGCATTTTAAAGAAAACTAGACATTTAAATCCACAATAGTCACTATATCCATGACATCCTCCCTGGCCATTCGAAGCTGTGGCTTAGTTTAGTGTGGTGTGCTGCCTTATTCACGAATTCGAAAACCTAGCTAAAGGCCGTTTTCCGGTACTTTCTGTACATAGCTCTGGGGAATTCACCTAATGGAGTGTAATAGCGAATTCGATGTTTTCGGCCTTTTTTTAATTACATTGAAATAAAACAGTTATTTTTTTATAAGAAAATAATTAAATATCATTGTATGAATAATTCCATAAAAAAATAAAGTAAATACACAAGTTTACGCAGAAAATAACCTTATTTATTATGGAAGATTCTGTCTTCCATACGTCTGTTTGAATTTTATTGATTTTCATAATAATTTATTTTTTTGAATAATTTGCAATAGATATAAAAGGAATATTGATAATTTTCAAAACCATCAATTTTATTCACCTTAAACGGTTAAATAATGATAGAAAAATAGAAATATCTCGTAACTGTGTTATGTACTTCATTTGGTGTAATTCCCCAGAGCTAAAACGGTAACGTACCGGAAAACGGTGTTTAGCTAGGTTTTCGAAAAGGTCAATTTACCAGAACTCGTTTTTTTGCGGAAATTTGTGAATTTTATCAAATTATTGACACGTAATCTTGAGAAACTGTCTCCACTGTGAACGCAATTAATCAAGTTTCTCAATTTAGCACGTGTTATTATTAAGTTCGATGACTTGTTGACTCGTGGTTGAAGGTAAGGAAGAACTAAAAAAACATGCCTCCATATCCATGTTAATTTTCATGTCTTTGAAAATTTTGAAAATGTATTTAATAAAAGTGAAATACTGTGAAGTGAACAAAGAAGGCAAATTTCACATTGCAAATGACATTTAGATTTCACGTAAATTTCCAAAAAGAGATCAAAATATGCAAAAATAGCCCTTTCTGCCTTTGTCACACTGTAAAAATATGGTAATAAATACTGTATAATTAGTCACATATCGCACATAAATCTTTTTACTTTTATTAGAAATTAGTACATTTTTCTCAAGTTTGATTTCTTAATATTTTGGCTCATCTGGAGGAATGCAGTTTAAAAAAAGAAGATACGAGTGCACCCTTGAATTATCCGGGAGAACCATTCTTCCTTGGCCAGAATCGCGATCGTTACTGGCGATGGGAAGGTTTATGTGAAGAGCTATGCACGGTTTTTATCAAGAAGAGACATGGCCGATTCTATCATTTGCATGAATCCATTTGAAAATGCAGATGTGCAACAGGAAATTACAAAATAAATGATCTTTTTGACAGGAATAAAACCAACGGGAATACACTTTTTTGTTTTGATGCTAAATCAGTTCGACACGAAATTGGCTGAAAGTCAGATATTGCTGGGCATTTTTTTCTTTTTTTTTTCAACAAAATCAAAACTCAAATTTCTTTGTAATTAAAGACGTTTGGACAGCAGAAACGTGTAATTTAATGTGACAAAGAGTTTGTGCTTAGTTTTTCGTGAACTTTGAATGTGAAATTTTCTCCATTGATTGCATATATGCAATGGAAAAACAACTGCAAACATTGTGCCAACAAATAGTGCGTTTTATTTATTGTTGTCTCTAGTTGTGCATTTGATGTTCTGAAATAATATTGGTATGTCTACCCTTATATTAAACGATGCGTAAAATAGCACGTGAGCTGGTAACTAAGTAGGCTGGCCTTATTAGCTTTCTTCTTAATGGGTTTTGCCATGGGACTGCCGCCTTTACTTTCCCGCACTTTTCAATCAAACGTTATTGGCCCTTTTAAAAAAGTCAATTTCCGTCCACTTAGCAAAGGCTTTTTCACAAGCGTTTTTATACAGAATACCCGGGGGCGATATTTTAAGTGAAAACTGTTTTTGATACTTATCCTATATTTCATGTTTCATGATTAAATGAAATGGAAATTCACAACAATGTATTGCTTTACAGAACAATGTGGTGTATGGACATTACGGACGGCCGGAGGACCTACAAGTGCTGGTTGAAAACAACGTAGACATCAAAGACGCATTATTGATAATAAGATACGGCCGTATCCATCCAGCAAGTAAGGTATTTATTCTTAATGCTCGCTTTTGATAACCTCTCTTTTATTTTCTTTCTATTTTTAGTTTCTTTCTTTTTAAATATAGTTTTGATTTAGCTTGCGCACATGTAAAATGGTATGCAAAATGATTCGTATGTATATGTACAGTCAATGTAATGTAAACTGAATAGAAATGTAAATAATATTGTATCTAATTTCATTGTCACTTTGTTTTATATTAACAAGTTATCTAGAAAATATTTGAAATATTTTAATTAGGTTAGGTAAGAAGAATTTGAAAAGAAGTAGAAAATTTTCATTGTTAGTTTGTACTTTTGTTATACCATTTATATTGGATTTCATTTTGCATATTGTGTAGTCATATAAAATAATATGTTTTTTATTAATGAAATAGCCTTACGTTCTTAACAATTATCATCATCGAAAAAAATTGCATTTGTCTCATTACATCTATGAATTCAAAATTGTGAATAATTTTTACCAAGGTTAAAAATGCTGAACGGTACGGAGCGGCGGCAGTTATACTTTATTCTGACCCAGCGGATTATGCTAACAACCAGTCGACGGTATATCCGGAGAGTTGGTGGTTACCGGGCTGGGCGGTACAATTGGCACATGTTCGATACAATCTCCTCGGCGACCCTTCAACACCCGACTACTCCTCTATAAGTAAGCCATCCTAATAATTACACATTTTTGTTCTATAAGTAAATAATAAATCTGAAGTTAAACAAACATAGTGATATCATTTTAAAAATTATATATGTTTTTAAGACATTGATGTCGGACAATATGCGATAAAACATGTACCCTCTCCTAACGAAACTTGATCAAAATAACAAATTAATACCACTGACGTTCAAGATTTACATAAATTATCGTATTAAGCTACAAAACTCTCCGTTTGTGATTGATCTAATTAAAAGTATGATTAGTTTTCAAATGTCTGTCAATTCACTAAACGTGCCGTGTTTTTATTGATGCTGTCGTGCTGCTGCTGCTACTGCTGCTATTGTTGTTGTTGATGTTGTTGATTTGATAATAAAGTTCATTTCTGTTATTATTTTAATTAATCAGCGGGTATACATCATAAGTCAGAGGTCAAGTCACATTTTCCGAAGATACCTGTCCAGCCGGTCAGATATGAAGACGCAAGATTTCTTCTCAGGTAGGCTTCAAGTTATGTCCCTCTTTGCCACCATAAAGCCTATACCAAATTAAATATAGTGTTTTGCAAGGTCGTAAAATGAAATATTTCAGTTAGATTCTGACTACATGTTGTGGTTGATTTTTTTCTTTAACTTTTTTCAGTAGCTATACATTCTCTTACTTTATATAAGGATTTAAACGTTATTTTACGAATTCCAGATTTATTAACTGAAAGTTGCTAAGGCAACGACTTTTCTGTTTTAATTAGTAGCGATGTCAAGAAGTAAAATCATTTTGTGTATTTTTTATCAAGACTGTTTTAAATTTTATTTAGCGATATGGCTGGTCCAATCGTGAAGAACGAATGGTTTGGAGGTCTCAATTTGACATATCGGTTAGGACCCGGATATACAGATGATAGGTAAGGGGGATCACTCTTACATCCATCTAAGCATGTTGAGGTTATTTACTCTTTTAAAAGTTGTATCTCTTAAAGTTTTAGCCTAAAATAGTTATAAAAAAGGAAGACATATGAAAAATAAGTATGACATTATTCGCTTCCATTTACATCACTGATAATAGATGTAATTTTTTACGGGTCCATGTCTCTAATCTTAACATTTACATGTTTCAGAAAAGTTGTATTGCAAGTTGAAAATATGATACAAGAAAGACTTATTTCAAACATACTGGCTGTAGTAAAAGGGCATTACGAATCAGGTTTGTATATGTACTAACATTTAATGCCTTAAAATTAAAATAAATATCATTTTTTCAAATGGAACTTTTTTCCTCGTATTTTAATGAACCAAATTTGAAAATATTACGTAGAACAGGATCCTTAGACTGGTTCATACTAAAAAAATTTCAACAATGTTAATTTATACATGTAGAACAAATTCGGATAATGGTTCTGTTGTAAAACGTTAAAAAATATACATGCATGTTTAACGACTTAGTATCGCGGAGTATTTCCGGTAGTAGTTGCTGCCAGTTCGTTGGACAATTTCTGGGAATTCCATGACCCACCTTTGTAAATACAAAAATCGTTGTATAAAATGCAATTCTTTTTTTTTTTCTAGAAAATTAACTTTGTTTTAACTTCGTGGAGACATTTGTTGTTATTCATTATGTCAGTATTTCTCTTACTTTTTCATTTTATATTTTTTAGACAAATATGTAATAATTGGATCACACATAGACTCATGGATTCAAGGCGGTGTGGACTCGGGTACAGGTTACACGGTCATACAAGAACTTGCCAGAACGTTCGCCTACCATATAGGAAAAGGTATGGAATCTATCAAGCTATCTTAATCATTCAAACAAAATGTAGAGTTTTTTATTTCTATAATTTACCACCTTGGTCAAAGGAAGAAAACTACTTCATGTTCATTTAATAAAGTGTAGAACAACTAGCTTTTTTATTTTACCATAAAAGATAAAATGTAGAATACCTAGTTCTATCTGGTCATAAGGTAAATAAAGAATATTTGAAATTTAATAAAGAAAGTATATATACGCATATTGAATCTCTAGGTCCAACTATATCACTACACGTGTTTCGTAAAGTTAATTTCAAATCAAATTTTATAAATTCAATTAAACTTCCGTTTTGTGTCTATCAAAGTGAGATTGAGATAGGGTATAATATGTAATGTATAAAGTTTCAAATAACTTGTTCATAACATTCAACAACCTTTAACTGTGTTTGTATTTTCAGGGTGGCGGCCGCGTCGGACGATCATATTTGCATTATGGGACGCATCTAAATATGGTAACATAGGCGCTTATGAATGGGTTCAGGTAGGTGGTGAATTTCATTCATACATAAACGGTCTAAGTTTAATATTTAAGGATTAATAAATACGTAATAATTCAGTAAATATACAGTTATCTTCATCTTGCTTTAACTAAAGTATCATTCTGTGCTTTATTTGTTAATCACGAGCGGGAACCTGTGTATAACCAACGACCTTCTACAAAAGTATTTGAATGCAATGAAATATAAAGCTCCCAGCAAATCAAGAATCATGTCAGGATTTGAACCCACAAAGGTGAGGGGCGAGTGGCCATAACCACTAATATCACTATTGCGGAGATATCTTAATAATTTATTTATTTAATAATTTCTCCCTTAATGACCTCTCTAAAAAATATATTAGCAGATATGTTGTTAAATTGTTCAGATAAATTTCTATTAATTCTTAGTCATAGAAAATTGGGTGATCCCTCGGAAGTATTGAAAAGAACAATATAATATGAAAATTGCAGACTCGGTTTGATCGAGTCTGTTCAGGAGAGATGAAAAAGTGCAACGTCTCTCACGCCCCCCCCCCCCCAGCACCGGCTTAATCGGCATTCAATAATCAATGATCCCGAATGACCAGAATAATTATAAGTAACAACACTGAAGTGAAGTACCGGGCCACATAGCACTTGACTTCTACTGTTATGAATTCCAAAATTGCTGAAAAGATGCAAAAATTTAAAAACTTTATATGAATATTTATGGAAGCCATATATTACTTATTGAGAATAACAGATGGCATCATTTGCGATAACTTGAGAAATCTTCTAGTATATTTTGTATTAAAATTCTATAAACAAAATACACAAATAATGCTTTATCAAATATTAAAACCATACATTTCGAATTATCTTTATTTTAAAATGATTTAGTATGACGTTTAGCATGATTAAATTGTTGAGAAAAAAAACCAACTTGATTTCGTGTCTGGCTGTGTATATATCATATACCACGTAGAAGAAAAAACAATTTGACTTAATCATATATCAGAAAAAACACGATCGACATGAAATTAATTAAGAACCATAAAACATTCCTACCATCTTAAATTGAAAACATAAAACGCACCTGCTCATAAATATTTGATTATTTCTTGATATTAAAACCAGTATAATAATTTATCATATTAAATTAAACACTTAAATTTCCATTTGTATACGCATAAAAGTAATATTAGAAAAAAAACGCCCTTATATTAATATCATTTTGGTATGAAAGATGCGGCAATAAGAAAATAATTTATGTGCAGTTATATCATTTATGTTGGAAATACAGTAAGACCTTTACATTTTGTTAAAATGAAACATATTTTTTATCGATTGATTTTTTAAGATTATTTTTGAAACGGAAAAAAAATAGGCAGCATATGTAATTTTTTTCCCTATGAATGAAATTTTGTGGAAATTCAGTCTTTAGTACGGAAGCCCTGGAGGGACATTTATTATTTAAAAATAAAATCCGTCATAATTTCGTACAAATTCGAATTATTTCGGCTCTTTCCGTGTATAATTAATTGGACGAATTTATCGTCCGCTACACCTGCAGCATCAACAAATCATGTCTTCTAAACGCTTTCCAAGTAAATAATTGTTACGAAAATTGGCGAACTTGGCCGAATGTTTAAGGTAAATTGGAATTTGTAATACCTTATAAAACATGGTTTTCTATACCTGATTCTGTTTTATATTTTCAGGAGCATGAGCGGCAACTCGTGGCAGGTGCTGTAGCGTACATTAACCTTGATGCTTTAATTCAAGGTATCGTGTTTGAGTCTCTAGAACTCTTTATTTTCTATTTTTAGAACTGTACTTATATAATATCTGTCTTCCATTGTGGAGAGATTTGAAAATTGCTTCAAAGATATCCCTTGTTCTTAATCGTCATGAGACAAATTAAATTACCCCTAAAAGTTTAAAAACGGGACTTCATAAAATGAAGAAAAACACAAATGTATTCATTCTTAAATCTTTACACTTGTTAATGAAAGTAATCTTTTTAAAAGTTTTCCGCCGCGCATAAATGCGCATTTACGTAATAATAGAGTATTCTATTTTTAAAAGAATTTTAGAAATATCCGTATGTCTATGTCATATTTTTTTTAAATAAATTAGTAATTAGAAGGAGCCCCGTTTCCGCCTCGCGATGATTATATGAACCTGCAACTTAAGTGGTCTTATTTATGCAAAACATGCAGGGAACTACAGTTTTGCTGCCGGTGCGAGCCCTCTGTTACACTCCATGATCTTCAACGCCACCCAGACAGTCCAGCTTAATTGTACAAACACCGCTTGGTGCACGAAAGAGTCCACAGTGTACAGTAAATGGGTGCGAAGTTTCCCGGACCCACAAAATGATAAGCCTAGGTAAAGTACAAACATACAGTACACATGATTTCAGCTAGGTTTCAATTCCAAATTGAATTTCTAAAAGTAATTTAATACACATATGTCTTACATGATTTATTGAGTAACTAGTTATTCAAGTTGTCTGGAGGTTTGGAACTACTTTTCATTCCGCATTCTAAACAACAAATATTGATCAGCACATAATATTTGTTTTTTGTTTTTTTTTATTTATGATTGTTTCTGTTTTTATGTTTTTCATTTGCCTATTTATCAAGAATGCAATTTTCCGTAAAAGCTTTTAGATATAAAACTTAATGTTCTCGTACAGAATGTGATGTCATCCATTTTATCAAACGGTCACGTGATCGGAAAAATTATTATATCGTAGAATAATGAGCAAATATATAACATTTTATATCTGAATTTGATTATGAGAAATCATTTCGTGCGCTCATAAACGTTATTTAATCTAATTTAAATACGAAATATACCTGAAAATGATAGGAGTGTGGTATTTTATGTGTTCTAAAATGATAAATTAAAATGGTTGATACCTATACATTTATCTATAAATTGAGGATTCACAACGCTGTTGAAAAATTGAGAATCATTATAATAATGCGCATTTTACGTATGGATGTTGTTGCTTTGTTTGTTTGCTCAGTTTTTGAAAATGTTTTATGTTGCTTTGTTTTTTTTTGTTTTGTTTTTTTCACTTTCTCATCTTTTTTATATGACAGGGAGTATCTTTCATAAGTCTTTTTTCTTTTCTGATATAACTTGAACAGTTTTCTTTACATTTTACAGAAATGTTTAAATTGATGTCCAGAAAAAAGCCCTTTCGCAACAGATGAAACAATTTGTCATATTCAGAAAATATTCAGAAAGAAAGAAAGATATTTTTACATCTACACATATCGGTATAATGCTCAAACAAACACTAGCAATGATCAAAATTTCTTATGACGTCAAAATTGCCTATGATCACAATATCTTGTGACGTTAAATTGCCAATAAGCACAATTTCCTATGACGTCAAAACAAAGTCTTTTAATTGCTTTACAGAATTTTCTTATTATTTACCTGCATCTTACAGGTTCAAATCGTTAGGAGATGATAGTGACCACGCCCCTTTTGCATACAGAATTGGCGTTCCGGTTTTGTTTCCTCAGTACACATTTAATGAAACGGTAAATATATTTAAAACAGTATAATAACTTCCGTTTTTATGTTAACATACACATAATTTAAAGTAAAAGGACAGAATATTTCTTTTACATTCACCTAAGTTTAATACAGATTAATCCTTGCAATTAATTTCAAACCTTTTTATATACATATATTATATTTATAAGATAAACTGGTATGTTCAGTATCTTTTAGTCCACTACAAATGATGACAAGTTATTTTTCAGCAATGAAGCCATATTTTTATTGTCAGGAAAACCAAATATATCTACAATTTTATTATGAAATGACGTCAATTTGATGACGTCCGATTATTTTTCAAATAAACAAGATAAACAATACTTCGATTACATTCTTTATCATTCTATGAGCATAAGATTGTTTTTCCTTAGAAATATCCATTCCTGAGCACCTACCCTGCAATAGGAGCACTCGAAGATACAAAAGACTACGTAGAAAACTTCATAGATCCGAACTATATACTTCATATCACCATGACGAAAGTTCTTGCTGACGTCATCCTGAGATTGTCAGATTCCGCTATCTTGCCATTTGATTTACAGAGTTTTATAGATTTTGTTGAAAACGGAAAGAACGTTTTATCCGAAATGATGACGGTTTTGGCATCGATGGGCAAAACATTAGGTAAAGCACATACCTCATTAAAGAACGCATTTATTTGTCAAGTCTAAGAGAAAATGAAACCAAAAAAAAAGTAAAAAGGACAATTACGGGAAAAGGATCCGAACTCAACATAGCTTAGTAGATATACATTATTAGTTCAAAGTGACGCTAGATTCCAACCACTCTTTTAGTCGCAAAATTCCAAACAAATTTTTAGAACTTCTACAGCTAATTTTCGTTGAAAGTAGAAAGTATCCGAATTTAGTTTCATTCTGATGACATATTAGACCTGCCTTTGGTCAGGGATGGCAAAATATTAAACTGTTTGAAGTTCCTAGAGCAGTATATAATAGTATTTATAAATTTTGCTACGAACACTCAAATTTTTACAAAGATCGATCTTACATGACATTTTGAATGTAAACAATTGAAAATCAGAGATTTTTTTCACAAATTGGGGTCCATTTCTGACCCCAAATTGGCCATAAAAATAACCGATAACAATAATGTCCGTTATTGTTTTCGCTGGCTCCAATTTGCGTCGCATAAAATACATAAATTATGCGCTGTCATGTCATGTGATTATATTTTGCTTTTTCTTTTACATTCACAGACAGCACGGAGTTATGTACGAAGGCCATAGACAGATTCACTAATGCAGCTACAAATTTTAAATACAAGATGAACAATATCGACATAACACAATTTAGGTACATTCATTTAATTATATTTTAATACCTTTAGTATTTAGCCTTTGCGAACAGTAAAGAGTTAAGACAAGTCCGCACATTCGTGTAGTCTGACCAGGATCTATACTGTTGGTAGCTAATTCTTTACATTATGATATTGAAATCCTGAAACTATGAATGAACTGTTCAAATTGAAAGAAAGGAAAATCCTTTACATAAATGGTTTAGTCTTGCTTTTCTTGAGTTCTTACTTATTTTATTGCATTTTTGGGATTTTAAGTAACACCAACACTGTTAAGGTTATATGGTGCCATTCGATATAGAGGAAGGAAGAAGACCTATCCATCAGTTACCTCAGGCATGAGCAGGCACCTGAGTAGTGGTTTTGTTTAAAATAACACTGTTAAGGTCCTACTTTACTTATGGAAATCCCCCGGCTGCCTTTCTGTGCATTCTTCTAGCCACGAGCAGGCGGCATCTGTAAAGATCCATGCACTGCCATTTTAGCTTAGTACGCTAGTTAAATTGTTTCTCTGAAAGAAACCAAAGTCCCTGACGAGATTCGAAGCCATTGCGGTTAATGGTCCTGCTATATCTTCAAAAGTATATTAGGAAAATAAATTTAAGAAAAAAAACCATGGACCTAGTTTAGCTGGGGAAAAGAACCGTTATAATGAAAATAATTCATTATTGGACTTCACTCGTATTGCAATAACTTTATTACTCATTTCGTGCATTTTTTCATGATGTCAGAATTTAATGTCAAAGGATTCCAACATATGATTACAAATGTTGATTTTGTACATGTACATGTTTGTGTTGGTGCTCCGTTACAAGAGTTACCGTTTAAGTTCTTCCTTATTCTCCACGAGGTTTATATACATGTATATCTCTCTTTATTTTTCAGTGAATTTGATTTATATATTCTCAATAATAAGTTGATACAACTAACACGTGCATTTATATCCGAAGTTGGTCTGCCTGGAAACAAACATTATAGGTAAATAAAATATTGTGTGGTATTTTTTTAAATTCTACTGTACAGTAGACAGAAGCGGTGAACTAGTGGCCATCGTTACTCCTGAAAAAAAAAACATGTCGCAGAATTGGCTGTAAAAGTTTAAGAAGTACATTGATATCCGCAACGTAAACCTGAATTTTGATGCTTATGTATTTAAGCCTAACCGGCTGAATTTCTGAAATGAACAAACTTTTTTCTTTGCCAAAACTTATTTTCATTTACATATAAAATATTTGATATTTATTCAGGATACATATGAGCCGCGTCACGACAAAACCAACATAATGGGTTTGCGACCAGCATGGATCCAGACCAGCCTGCTCATCCGCGCAGTCTGATCATGATCCATGCTGTTCGCTATCAGTTTCTCTACTTGTAATAGAGTTGGTAAGCGAACAGCATGGATCCTGATCAGACTGCGCGGATGCGCAGGCTGGTCTGGATCGATGCTGGTCGCAAACGCACTATGTTAGTTTTGTCGTGACGCGGCTCATATATTTATTCACGGTAACAAAAAATTCGCGCGGAAATTGATTTGCAATTTTTAGCAAAAATATATGTGATGCGGATAAAACCAGTTTTACAGTATTTGTTGTCAATTAAACCTTCCCAGAAATGTACTTATTTTAGATATAAAGTTATATTTTCTTAAGCTTAAGCAAGCGATTCAATCTATTTTCACTCAGATTGATAAATGATGACTATACTTCTAGCTAATGAAAGTTTTTTTATAGTTTGCCTTGATTTAAATGGACTGGTAATCAATTATTGTTTCAATAAAAGCCATCTGAGAAAATAAATATTTCCCGAATGAATTTACAATTCATATAAATTAGTTTTTAAACGAGATTGTCTATTGAAATAAAAATATTAATTCAGAGTCGGGGTGCGTAGCTTTACGTGCGCGACAGGGCGTTTTAGAACCCTTATTGAAACAAACAGAATACATACATTTATACAGATTATTTATTGCTTGGACGTTTTTTTCGACAACTTATTTCTTAAACGCAGAAAAATTTATTAGATAGTCAAAGCCGTACGCCCAATTTGACTTGTCAGACATCCAATATGGTTTGTCAGACACGAATCAAACGGTCTTAGAATCCAGACGCCCTGATCTGTTGAATCAAAAAAGGGACAAATATACTAAAATGTCAGTAAGAAACTGGCTTAAAATAAATATTAGTGAATAAAATTTTGTCAATAACAGTCTGGATCCCTGTCAATTGTTAAATTCAATTTTCGTTTAGCAAACAACTCTGATATTACAGAAAATTTGGTACCTTTGTTATGTAGGGTACCATCAAATTCGGAAGTACACTCACATATATTATTTTAATCTTTATTTCAGAAACATTTTATTAGCGCCGGATCCTCTTGACTTGAAGAAGGAGATAACATTCCCAGGAATTTACTGGAGCGTACATTCGAATTATAATTCAACGGAAATGATTGAGCATCTTAACGAACAGATATCATTAATCGTTCTCAGTCTCAACAGAGCGACAGACATTTTGAATGATGCGATGGTCACGTGATAATGACGTCACATGTAAAGCTGGATAATGAAGTTGGGATACAAAATGTTTAAAAATGGTCTGTGTTTTTGCTATGTTGGAAGAAACCGCAGATTGAAAGTAAAAAGTCAAGAAAGTAAGAAACGTGCTGGCCTGTCAAGAAAGTATGAATTGAAGATTGATTAATTATTTAAATCTTGGTAAAATATTAAATGGGTAGAATAAGATACTTGAATCAAAATGTATCCATATGTTCCTGGTAAAAGTGATCATACTCTTATAATATGATGTTAATTTCTACCAAATTTGAAGTGTGTAATGTATAATGAACTTCTCACATGAACATAACGACACAAAATACTATAAACACGTGAAAGTCGTGCAAAATGTTTTTCTATACATGGAAAACTACATTGGCGGGAAAATGAAAGGGAATAGATATTTGCTCTACACAAACTCTTATCCATTATTATTTATTGGTGAATTTGCATATTTATGTCATTTAGGCCTTTTCTAAAAGGTCAAAGGCCAAACAAGGCAGCTGGCGCGTGCCGCATTATACTAGGGCCAAACTGTCTCAAAGACAACATAGGTTGCGCGTTAGAAAAATATCGTTACGTCATTATTATACTTTAGGAAATTATATGTGAAAGTGACTTTTACTGATTTTTTGAAAATACAACATCCAGTTTTCTGTTGTATATATATTATACATGCTCTAAAGAGATATAATATACAAGTTTACCGCATTTTCTTAATATTTTAAAAGTGTTAATGTATTAATTACAGTGGTGCAACTGTTATCTGCCAAAACTGATCTAAATCGGGCTGAAAGATCTTCCAGGTTTCTTTTTTATATATACATACAGTTTATCTAAATTGATTCTTTATTTTACTTTATATCATTTACTTGTACATAAAATGATGTATTAATTCATCATAATTCATGAATTAAATATCATGTATCAACGGTTAGTGAACGATGATTATTATAATGATATATGTTTTCAAGCATTTCATTTTTCATCCATCACTTCGTGTGAATTCGGTTATTTTCGTCAACATTCGTGTTTAAGTACCTAAACAAGCTTCTATTGAAAATCGTTGTGAACCAGGCTCTTACTTGTTTAATAGTTTAATGTGCCTGACATTATTTTCGAATTTATAATATACTAGTATACAAAACAATCTGCTGAACCCAATGCCGATGGTTTTATCATTATTGAAGAAAACTCATTGCTGCATTCGTTTCACAAAATATTAAATAAGGGTAACACTCAATACAGCCCATTACTGCGTCAAATGAGGGACCGGATGATGATTATTTTGTAAGCTCGTAAGTAAAAGGGCGATGACTTAAGAATAAAGATTGAATATTCATTTTAGTTTTTAACCGTGGAATACTGTGGCATATTGTAAGAAAGAATGGTGGTGACATTTTTTCAACTTCTAGAATTCTCGGGTTGAAATCGTAAATTCCATATGTTGAAAACGTGAATTGACGAGGTTAAAATTGTGATTTCACGAAGATGAAATCGGGAATTTATGAAATTGAAATGTACCCACCGGTCTTACGTAATATTGTGATGTTTGGAGTTCGCATTCACTGTATTATCATCGGATGGCTTTATGTAGTGCGCTTATAATAATTATAATTATAAACAACATGATGTAGGTTGGTATTGCACATATTATTTTCATTGGGAATAAAATTGTTAAAAATCGGTTTTTACTCCTGGAACAAACTAATTATTTGGGCTCTTTAATGTCTGCTAAACAGCTGGGGCCTCGGGGTTGTGACTTGCACAACACAACATTTTCGGGGGAAGTGCATACATTGTGACTTGCACAACCAAGAACATTTTCGGGGGATGTGCATACATTGTGACTTGCACAACCAAGAAGAATCTTTTTCTTTTTTTTTCTAAAATAACATAACGAGTCTGGGAGTAAACCAAGGTGACAACGACGATACAGAAAGAAATTATCACAACGTTGGTGACTATTTGGGATGGGTGTGTCTTATTTTACATCAAGAATTATTCTTTTATTATTTATAGTAATGTATGGATAGAAAATTATAATAAATGGGCTGTTAAAGTTAGACTCGAGGCATATTTGTGACTTTTTATACATGTTAATGTTAAGTTATTGATGTAAGCTTTAATAGATTTTATGTGGTTTTATCTTGAATTATAGTAGAAGAGTTAAGATATACGTGTTGGCTTAGGTTGTGATTTAATCGATTTTTTGTGCACTTTTTGGTAAATTTTGTGTATAAATGGTGTAGTTATTATTTTATAAAATATGTATTGCGAACCTGATTAACGTTATGCCCATTATGCCTCAGCAATGCTATCAATTTTATTTACCATGAACATTTTGAAATTTTGTTACAGTTTCCAAAAAGATATACTCATTTGCCATTTAAATGAAATATCTGTTACATCTTTAGCTCTGTTGGCAATAGGAATAATGTTAGAGAACAATTTTTTTTTTAATGGAAGTCAAAATACTACTTTGTTTTTGCTATCCTTGGGGCACATTATTGCACATTCAGCGTTAATATCTTTAGTTGTTAAACATTTAACATTTATTTGCTCTAAATCCATTGTTAAAACACTATTAAACACAGTTTCGGTCTTTCTAAAGAATTTTTTAAAAACGAATTCAACGGCATAGTGTGCCTTTAATCTAGAATTAATAAATAAGCTGTATTAGTCTGGCCAGTTTGTTTAAATATACGCCAGTTCGACTTAGAATGAGGCATTTTGTATACGCCATGTACATTGACTGAACAAGTCCTTTTTTATTTAGCAGTTTACATGTAATTATAGTTTATTACATTAAATAATTAATCCCGTGCATTCTTATTTCAGCATTCATGAGGAAAATAAAAGATTATTTCAGTCTTACGATAACAGCCGGAAAATGCCGAACATTTTAAGTGCAATATTTTGGCGCGTAAAAATTATGATTGTATAACCGCTGTATATGACAAAGATATCTTTAAAGATATCTCAAGTTGTAGCTTAAAGCAACGTGCCTCCTGATTCATGATTCTATGAACATTTTGAAAATTTAGTAAAAAAAGTAAATATTTCAAGTGCACAAACAACGTAATTTACATATTGCAAACGGCAATTTCGATCAACGTAAAATACTTTAGCTATACATATACATGTAAATGTTAAAATATGCGAAATAAGCTCTTTACTGCGTAGATCACGCAGTAGAAAAAATCATGATTTAAAAACTGCAAATCGTTTTTCATTTTCAAAGTAACATGTAAATTTTATTTTTATTTGTAAATATCCTACCCTTTCTTTAAAAACTTAAGAAAAATTTTTTTAAAGGGTTTAAAAGTGAAATTCATTTCCCTTTTTTTCATTTCATGACTGTGTAATACATGTAAAAAATTTTTTGTAGTAAATTTTATAAAATTTATTTCAAAAATGAAGCAAATTTTTAAATCTAAAAACAAAAAATCTGATTATTTTTATCCCCCGTGTTTTCTTTTTTTATTTAAATAAAATAACAAATTTATTTAAATTTTTTAAAAAAAATAGGAAAACTCCAAAATAAGGTAAAGAAATACTATCTTTCTTTATTTTTACTTTTTTTTATTTACAAAATTAAAGTTCTTTGATGCATGTTTCAAAACTAATCTATTTCATTTATGTATATATGTGTGTTAATTATGTCTAAAAGCAACGTAAAAAAGTACATATCAATTAACGTCATCATCTGTACATGTACATAGTTTTTAATTGATGAGTCATCATTTGTTTTAGTTATATATCTGTTTTTTCATTGGTTGATTATAACTTGAATTGTTTTGAAATGAAAATAAATTGCTAAAATGGATTAACAATCGAGGTTTGTTTAATTATTTCTCAACAACGTCCGTAAAATTCAGAAATGGAAATATTACAAAGAAGAAATAATAATGAGGTGATCTCATTTGAATGCAAGCGGCAATGGTCACTTGTATGGAACACAGGCAGTCGGTGCGTGGCTTAAACCCCTGTCACACTAGGACGGCGTTCTCACGGCGTCCAATGAAATATCAGAACGCCGAGGTGAGCGCTGTAAGATCGCAAATGTCGCCGCAGCATCGTAGTGGCATCGCATAGAACGCCGACCGAGGGCGCGCATTTTGAGCATGTTCAAAACAAACGCCGTCACTCGGCGTTCTTAAATGAGCGCAGTGGGATCGCAGATAGGACCCCGTAGCAACTCAGTAGCATCTCCTACAACGCAACAGGAGCGCCGTGAAAGCGCAAAAGGAACGCCGAATGAACGCGGTGGTTATCTACGGCGCTTGTACGGAGTTTGTGCGGCGTCTTTACCCCGCGCTTATACTGCGTGTGCATGGCGCTTTTACAGAGCTTTACGATTTCAGCGCAGTGTGAATGGCGCGATAGCGCCGTATGAGCGCCGTAAATGCACAAAGCACGTCGTAGAAGCGTGTCAGAACGAAAACAATCGTCAATTAAAACGCTATGAAAGCTCCGTAGCATCGCCATATTCGCCGTTGGGACTCCGTGTAGTCTTCATGTCATCAAAAATATCACATTTTTATTGCGATCTCGCAGTGCTTTGTAAAATCTTACAACGCCGTGCAAACGCAGTCTGGTGTGACAGGGCCTTGGTATAGATAGTATACATGTACATGGCCACGCCCACTTATTTTTATAAATAAAATATATTTTTACTAATAAAATATTTTTTTCATTCAAAATGTTTTTTAAACATCTTATTTTCAATAAAACAACAAAGGAAACTTGTTTTAAAAATTTCATCCATATGTATGATGTGTGAAGTTGGCGGCCCAGCAGCCTGAAGTTGGCAACCCAGCGGCCTCAACTTGGAGGCCTTGCGGCGCAGCGACCTGAAGTTGGCGGTCTAAATTTTTAATTTCAATAATGTTTTAAAAACAGTTAAAACGGCAATTAATGGGGTTCTAAAGACAGTTCTTGTTATTTTAAGTTATTTAAATATATATATATATATAAAAAAAACATTTTTGAGAAAACTTTTATTTTATCAGTTTTTGTGAAGTTGGCGACCCAAAATTTTTAATGTTGAAAGAAATTAAAACGACTCTTAATAAAGTTTCAAAGACATATCTTATCATCTAAAAGTTACATAAAAACAGAACAAAATATCACATTCAAAATTTTCGTTTTCAAGGGAGTCGGAAATTTTACTGTCGTAGAAATTTATGGAAACAGTAACACGGCACTTATCGAAGCTCTCAAAGACTCTTCTTGATATCTTAAAGATATATAAGAAGAAAAAGTCACTTTGCAAAGCTTTTTCATTCTATCACTTTTGTGAAGTTGGCGACCCAGCGGCCTAAAATTTTAATGTTGTAGAAATGTTATAAAAACAAAACAACGGCATTTAATGAAGTTCTTAATACAATTCTTGTTATATTTAGGTCTTTAAAGGATGTGTTAAAGGAGAAAATGACTTTCGGAAAACTTTTTTATTTCATAATTTTTGTGAAGTTGGCGGCCTAGCGGCCAAGTGACCTAAAATTTTAATTTGTAGAAATGTTATACAAACAACAAGAGCCACCGCCGGGCGGGGGCAACGCTCGACTTTTTACTTTTTCTAAACGCAAA